AACATCTCCCTAACATCCCCACCCCCCAGCCCCTGGTAACTACCATTCTACTCTCTGCTTCTATAAGTGCAATATTTTTAGATTCCACATGTAAATAAGATCATAAAATATAGGTCTTTTTCTACTTGGCTGATTTTACTTAACATAATGTCCTCCAGGCTCATCTATGTTGTTTAAAATAAAAAGATTTTCTTTTTTAAGGCTAGATAGTATTCCATTGTATATATTTACCACATTTTCTCTATCCAGTCATTTTTTGATGAACATTTAGGTTGATTCCATATTTTGGCTATTGTGAAGAATGCTGCAATGAATATGGGAGTGCAGTTGTCTTTTTGACATACTGATTTCATGTCCTTTGGATATATACCCAGAAGTGGGATTGTTGGATCCTAGCAGAGTACCATATTTAGTTGTTTGAGGAACCTCCATACTGTTTTCCATAAGGGCTGTACTAATTTCCATTCCTGCCAACAGTGTGCAATGGTTTCCTGTTCACATCCTCACCAACACTTGTTATTGTTCATCTTTTAATAATAGCTATTCTAACAGGTGAACTGATCTCATGTGGTTTTCATTTACATGGCTGTACTAATTTCCATTCCTGCCAACAGTGTGCAATGGTTTCCTGTTCACATCCTCACCAACACTTGTTATCGTTCATCTTTTAATAATAGCTATTCTAACAGGTGAACTGATCTCATGTGGTTTTCATTTACATTTCCCTGATGATTAGTGATGTTGAGCATTTTTTCATGTACTTTTTTGGCCATTTGTATGTCTTCTTTTGAGAAATGTCTATTCAGGTCAAGTGACTCTAACAGTAATTGGACAGCAAAGCCAACTTATATTAAGGCAGCGCCCAATAACAATAAGCAATGTCTTCAGCATATGAGAGAATGTTTCTGTTCTCTGAGCCCACACTCAGTACATCTAAAAGTACAGTTTTACCCTGCTGACATGAAAGAAAAGGCTAATGCAAACACATTGCTGTTTTACCTGACTGGAAATTTGTTAATGAATTCTAATGAATTACCAAATTCATTAGGAGATAGTTTAACTCTAATTCTGGGGGTAATATTAAGGATAACCTTTGTGCAACAATAAACAAGACTCCTCATCAGACCTATACTTAGAAGAAAACATAGGAGTCAATCTTCATGATCTTAAGTGGTTTCTTAAGTATGAAATCAAAAGCACAAGCAACAAAAGAAGAAATATATTGGACTTCATCAAAATTCAACTTTTGTGCTTCAAACAATTCCACCAAAACAGTGAAAAGACAACCCCTAGAATGAGAATATTTGCAAATCATGTGTCTGATAAGGGTCTTGTAACCAGAATATATAAAGAACTTTTACAACTCAATAATGAAAAGACAACTTATTTAAAAACGGGCAAATGATCTTATTTTAAAACGGGGAAATGATTTCTCCAAAGAAGATATACAACAGCTAAAAAACACATGAAATGATCCTCAACATCATTAGCCATTAGGAAAGCACAAATCAAAACCACAATGAGAGTCTTCACATGCACTAGCATAGCTATAATAAAAAAGACTGTGTTAGGGAAAACTTGAAACCCTCTTAAATTGCTGGTGGTAAAGTAAAATGCTGCAGTCACTTTTGAAAACATTTTGGCAGTCCCTCAGGTTAAATGTAGAGGTCTTTTACCTCAGCAATTCCACTCCTAGGTACAGACCCAAGAGAAATGCAAACATAGGTACACATAAAAAACTGTACACAAATGTTCATAGCAGCACCACTCGTAACAGCCAAAAAATGGAAACAACCCAAATGCCAACTGGTGAATAAATAAGATGCAGGACATCTGCATAATACAATATTATTTGGCAATAAAAAAGTAATACTCATGCATGCTACATGAATGAACCTTGAAAACATACTAAGCAAAAGAAATCAGTCACCAAAGACCACAAAATGTATGACTTCATTTGTGAAATGTCCAGAAAAGGCAAATCTAGAGAGAAAGTGGTTGCCTAGGGCCAGGGGACTGAGGAGTGAATGGGAAGTGACTGCTAATGGGTGCAGGGGGTTTTTTGGGGGGTGATAAAAATGTTCTGGAAACAGATAGCGGTGATGAGTTAGTGAATATGCAAAAACCACTGAATTGAACACTTTAAATGGGTGAATTGTACAGTATGTGAATTATATCTCAATATAGCTGTTAAAAATAAAGAATATATATCTTCTCTTAACGTCAAACTGACAGAAGCATGCACACACCAAATCTGACTCAAGTGATACTGCTTTTTTGATAAACCATTAGATAGTACCATCAAAGCTTTACATCAATCATTTTAACAAATGTAAATTATTAAATGGAATTGTTCAGATGGTGAGAACAAGATAGTGTTAGGAATATTATCAACCTCCTCTACTTTCTATTCTTGATAAATTACAATGATAAGGTTATGAAGTCAAGTGATTCTACTAATGCCAATTCCTATTCTACTATTATATTGGCTGCATACAAAGAGAAATTCTGTTGGTTATATGGTTTAAAGTTCTGCTTTCTAGTGCTGAATTTGGTAAATGAAATATATGGTCATAAAAAATGTCAATTACTGTAGACGTTAAGTACAAAGTAATTTATTTGGATTTGATATTTAAGGGAATGCCATTGATAATAACCTTTGTAGAAATGTACCTTTAAGAAGTTTGAAATACCCAACACCAATACTATAGAGCCTGACATAACAGATGCTTAAAAATGTTGAATGAATATAAAATAATTTAGCCTTTAAGAACTTTTTAAAAACTACCAATAAACACAATTGCATGTATTTTCATCCTAGACCTCACTATCAAATTTTATTTATCATGTAAAATGCATAGCAATCTAATACATGGATATGTAGATAAATAATTGCTACTACACTGTTTAAAGTTACAAGTATTAGAGAACAAAATTAGCATATCTGAGAGAAAGATTACAGATCAAGTACTGGGACCTCCCAAGAATCATAAGGCATGCAATTTAATATTACCTATTTATAAGAATTTCAGCATAAAGGTGATAAGGATAAACAAATAACTTTATATTAACTATGACCTTTGATGCACTTGATCCAAAGACATGAATTTCTGTATTAAAGTGTATTCAAATTTAATATTTTTCCTTTATGTCTATAGAATCTTGCTTCCCTTACACCAGTAGTTAGAAATTTGGTTAATGTACTGAGCAATCCAAGTAAATTTCATTCAAGAGGAAAGCCATGGGAGCTTCCGGTCAAGATGGCAGAATAGACAGTCCCCAATGTCACTCTCTCCCACAAATCGACCAATTTACAACTATTAAAAAGCAATGATGGGGGGGGCCGGCCCGGTGGCGCACTGGATAAGTGCGCCGCTTGGGAAGTGCAGCAGCGCTCCCGCCTGAGGGTTCGGATCCCACATACAGACCGGTTCCCGCTCACTGGCTGAGCGAGGCGCGGGAGCAACACCGAGGGTTGCGATCCCGTTGCTGGTCCCGGTCCGGTACGGGCGCAACACAGAAGGTTGCAGTCCGTTGCCAGTCACGAAAAAAGACAAAAAGGAAAAAAAAAATGTTCCTGTTAACATTTTTGAGTACCTTTGCTATGTCAGACCATGTCACTTTCAAATATGGATATCAGATGTCTGCCTTTTAGGTTCCACTGCAGTCTGTAGAGGTGACAGATTTCAATCCTTTGGTAAAAGTGAAGCTAGAAGATACATGGAATATGGAGAGCGTGGTGGAAGGCCTTTAGTCTATTATGGCAATTTAAGGAAGGCTTCCTTGAGAAGATAGGATAACCTAAACTGAATCTTGAAGGATGAGTAAGAGCTGGAGTAATAAGTAGTAAAGGAAAGACTAAAACATTTGAGGTAAGGAGTTTATGGTGAGGTTGGGGAGATAAGGAAAAACCAGGTAATCAAGGGTCTTGAATGCCATGCTAAAGATCCTATATTTTATAGGGCAAGGGGTAAATTAGAGTTTAGAAAT